TCTCAGAAGTCTTTACTGTCCTGGATGTGTGCTGAAATGCACATTAAACTATATTCTCCATGTACCATGTTTCTTTGTAAGTGAAAACTAAAAAAGGGAGAGAAAAACACTCTTCTTCATTATACTTTTAGACTACACAATGTACAAATATATACACAAGTATAACCTAATTTAGATCCTAAAATCATGCTAATCTAAATCAATCATAATATAATCAAATCTTCTAATATTTGATACTATAATCAAAGCAAATCAAATCTAATATTTCCTAATATCTACAATATCAAATCAAATCATATATCTATGATTCTACAATATTAGATCACATATCTTCAATACTCCTACTCAAGATGGAGCATAGATGTTAACCATGCCCATCTTGCCGCAAATATAATCAAATCTCGGATCACTTAGAGGTTTAGTGAAAATATCAGCTAACAGCTCTCTTGGTCTCACTTGATTGGTTCAGATCAGGTTTTGCTGAATTTTTTCACGAACAAAGTGGCAATCAACTTCGATATGCTTTGTTCTCTTATAAAAAACTGGATTTGATGCTATATGAAGGGCGATTTGATTGTTACACCATAACTTCATTGAAAGTGAATTAGTGATTCCCACCTCACACAATAATTGATGTATCCATATAAGCTCACAAGTGGACTATGCCATGGACCAGTATTCAGACTCTGCACTAAAGCGAGATAGTATATTTTGTTTCTTATTTTTTCATGATATCAAATTACCTCCAATAAAGACACAATATCTAGTTATAGATCTATCAAATTTATAACCTACCCAATCTACATCTAAGAAGCATTCAACATGAGAATGACCATGATTACCATATAGTGTACCACGTCCTGGAGCTCCTTTAAGGTAACATAGGATTTGCTCTAAAACTGTCCAATGGGTGGTTCTTGATGAGGACATAAATTGACTCATAATACTAACTGGATATGTAATGTTCAGGCGAGTCACAGTAAGATAATTTAACTTTCCCACTAATTTCTGATACATTTTAGGATCTGAGAATTACTCCCCATCATTTGCTATAAGTTACATGTTGGGGATCATTGGTGCACTACGTAGCTTAGCACCTAGCTTTCCTGTTACTTTCAAAAGATTAAGGACATACTTCCTTTGGCATAAGAAGATACCTTGTTTACACTTTGTAACCTGAATGCCTAAAAAGTATTTCAACATATCCAAATCCTTTGTTTGGAAGCGCAATTGAAAAATTTTTTTAAAAACTGCAATACCTGCAGTGTTACTACCAGTAATGACAATATCATTAGCATAAACAACAAATAGGATAAGACCAGTTTCATATTGTTGATAAAAAATAAAATGATCAAAATTACACTTCTTCATGCCAAACTCTTGAACCACCTCACTGAATTGTCCAAACCAAGCACGAGGATTTTGTTTTAAGCCATATAATGACTTTCGTAGTTTTCAAACCTTACCCAACTCCTCCTGAGCAACATACCTAGGTGGTTGCTCAATATAAACCTCCTCTTGCAAATGTCCATGAAGGAATGCATTCTTAACATCTAACTGGTACAAAGGTCAATTATTAGTAGCAGTAAGGGAAATAAATAATTGAATTGAGGTGAGTTTTGCTACTGGAGAAAACCTGTCTTGAATAATTTACTCCATATGTCTGAGCATACCCTTTTGTAATAAGACGAGTTTTGAGGCGAGCAACAGAACCATCAGGATTGATTTTAATAGCAAACACCCATTTATAACTAATAGGTTTCTTATCTGTTGGTAGATGAATCAAATCTCAGGCACCATTATTGTCTAGAGCCATCATTTCTTCCTCCATAGCAGCCCGTCAATCAGGATATTCCAAAGCCTCAGATAGGTGTTGAGTAAGAAATATTGAATCTAAAGAAGTTGTAAAATAACACAAGGAGGGAGACAAATGGTCATATGAAACAAATGATGAAATTGGGTAAATGCATTATCTTTTATCTTTTCTTAAAGCAATAGGCAAATCAAGACTAAAATCTGGAGATTGAGAAAGCGGTGGATCAAGACTCGGATTTATATACGGAGAAGGTGACGGAGGATGTGAATCAGTGTTTAGGATGACGAGAATACACTTGAGTGATTGGTGGTCTTGTAAGAACTGTTGTTGTAACAGTATAGACTAGAGTATCATCTTTCTCCCCCTTACTACTGTAGACATTAGATTCAAGAAAAAATGGATATGTCTCAAAAAATGTAACATCAGCAGAGACTAAATAACGATCTAAAATTGAAGAATAACATCTATACCCTTTTTGAAGATGTGAATAACCCAAAAATACACACTTGAGAGATTTGGGATCTAATTTAGACACTTGGGGACGAGTATTACGAACAAAACAAGTACACCCAAATATACATGGCTCAATGGGGAATAAAGTTTGGATTGGAAACAAAATTGAATAAGGAATCTCACCAGCAAGTACAGAAGATGACATTCGATTAATCAAGAAACATGCTGTTGAAACAGCATCTGCCCAAAATTGCATAGGAACCTTCATGTGAAATTGGAGGGCTTTAGCAACTTCTAATAAGTGCCTATTTTTTCTTTCAGCAACATCATTTTGTGTTAGGACATAAAAATTGGTGAAGGATTCTATTTTCTGACATATATGAATTAAAGGGTTTAAAAAAGTACTCTTTTGCATTATCACTTCGCAAAATGCGGACAGACACATTGAATTGTGTTTTTATTTCAGCGAAAAAGGAACAAAAGATACTAAATAAATCTGAATGACTTCTTATTAAATATAATCAAGTAACACGAGAGTAGTTATCAACAGATGACAAAATACTTAAAATTAGACTTAAATACTATTGGACAAGGGTTCCATATATCAGTGCAGTAATTTAAAGGGGGATGCAGCCTGTTTATTGACTATAGACGAGTAAGCCAAATATGCATGACTCACAATCTAAATGGGATAAATTTTAAAAATTTGGAAACAGCTTCAAGATGGGTGGGGATGGATGACCCAAACGATAGTGAATTTCAAGCAGATTCAAAGTGGATGAACATGCAACAGATTTCGGCACTTTCATTAAAGGGGTTTCAAGTGTATATAGGCCGCCAGACTCACGTCCTTTACCAATAATCTTTCTGGTCATAAGATCCTGAAAAACATACTATTCAGGAAAGAATGAGACAAAGTACTAGAGAGTTTTTGTAATTTTACTGACTGAGAGTAGATTAAAAGAGAAATTAGGTTCTTCTATCGTACTCTTTGAGTTACAAGTAAGCCAATCATTTTTCAGAATCTGTGTATTGAATTTTTGTTTATTATGTTTATGTAATTGAGTGCTGAAGCCATATAACCCATATACGGGTACTGATTAAAAACTCTGAAGATTCGAGGTTTAAATTGGGTCTGTCATTTAAATTGTTTCTTTGTTCCTCGTTGTCACTTTCAGATGATTGAATGAAATTGAGGTGCTGAGTGGGGGTTTGTTTAAAAAAAATCCTAGCCTTATAAACCGTATACGGGTATTGGTTTATTGCTCACATCTTTACAAGCTTAATATTTTTTAACATGTTCATGATAGAGAACATACACAGAAACTAGTGTTTACACTCTAGATAAATTTTTTTGATGATTGAATGAAACCAACGTGCTGAATTGAGTTGGCTTTGAAAAAATTCTGGCCATATAACCCATATACTAGTATTTACCAGCTGTTTCTTTGTCTTGCAGTGCTGAAGTTGAGGATTTATGAACATTTGCCCAAAATTAAAGGTTTGGAAGTTGGTGCTGATGTGGTTGGAGTCCTAGAGGGCTCTGGGTTTGAGAACTTGCTGAAGCTTACCAGCTATAATGGTAAACATTGTCACTACTTGATTCAGGCTTTTGCAACCAAGTACAGTAGTGACAATCAAACGTTTATTTTGGATCAAAATGGCAATCTCAAGCTCTATTTTGGTTTGAGGGATATTTTGCATATTACTGGTTTGCCGATTAGCGGCATGCCGCTGATAATACAAGAAGCACAAGGGGAAGACATTGCTAGGGAAATATTTTCAAATCTGGAAGTTTATCATAAGAATAGAGGCTTTTCTTTGAAGACTTTGAAGCACATTGCTATAAACAAGACTTCTGAGAATGAATTTGAACACCCTTTAGAAATTAGGGTGAGGGCAACAGTCTTGTATTTGTTAGGATGTTTAATGTTTCCGGATTCATCTGCCACCCATGTGAGAGGCATATATGGAGCTTTCTTGAGAGATATCAAGAAAATATCCCACTATGCATGGGGTGAAGCATGCTTGGTGGAGATCCACAATAGTTTGAAGATGTTTTCGTTGGCTAAAGATTCAATAGAAACCATTGGCCTTGACGGATCAATACTTGCATTAATGGTAGGTCATCTTAAATTTCATTCTTTTTTAGTTTCCCTATTGGTTTGGCTAAGGATTTTGGCTGATATATCACAATGCACGGTTGAAGCAAATAACCAGGTGTTTAGATGACTTGACTGAGGTAAGTTTCTATAACTACTTTTAAATATCAGCCAAAATCCTTAGCCAAACCAATAGGGAAACTAAAAAAGAATGAAATTTGAGATGACCTACCATTAATGCAAGCATTGATCCGCCAAGGCCAATGGTTTCTATTGAATCTTTAGCCAACGAAAACATCTTCAAACTATTGTGGATCTCCACCAAGCATGCTTCACCCCATGCATAGTGGGATATTTTCTTGATATCTCTCAAGAAAGCTCCATATATGCTTCTCACATGGGTGACAGATGAATCCGGAAAAATTAAACATCCTAACAAATACAAGACTGTTGCCCTCACCCTAATTTCTAAAGGGTGTTCAAATTCATTCTCAGAAGTCTTGTTTATAGCAATGTGCTTCAAAGTCTTCAAAGAAAAGCCTCTATTCTTATGATAAACTTCCAGATTTGGAAATATTTTCCTAGCAATGTCTTCCCCTTGTGCTTCTTGTGTTATCAGCGGCATGCCGCTAATCGACAAACCAGTAATATGCAAAATATCCCTCAAACCAAAATAGAGCTTGAGATTGCCATTTTGATCCAAAATAAACGTTTGATTGTCACTACTGTACTTGGTTGCAAAAGCCTGAATCAAGTAGTGACAATGTTTATCATTATAGCTGGTAAGCTTCAGCAAGTTCTCAAACCCAGAGCCCTCTAGGACTCCAACCACATCAGCACCAACTTCCAAACCTTTAATTTTGGGCAAATGTTCATAAATCCTCAACTTCAGCACTGCAAGACAAAGAAACAGCTGGTAAATACTAGTATATGGGTTATATGGCCAGAATTTTTTCAAAGCCAACTCAATTCAGCACGTTGGTTTCATTCAATCATCAAAAAAATTTATCTAGAGTGTAAACACTAGTTTCTGTGTATGTTCTCTATCATGAACATGTTAAAAAATATTAAGCTTGTAAAGATGTGAGCAATAAACTAATACCCGTATACGGTTTATAAGGCTAGGATTTTTTTTAAACAAACCCCCACTCAGCACCTCAATTTCATTCAATCATCTGAAAGTGACAACGAGGAACAAAGAAACAATTTAAATGACAGACCCAATTTAAACCTCGAATCTTCAGAGTTTTTAATCAGTACCCGTATATGGGTTATATGGCTTCAGCACTCAATTACATAAACATAATAAACAAAAATTCAATACACAGATTCTGAAAAATGATTGGCTTACTTGTAGCTCAAAGAGTACGATAGAAGAAGATTGGCTGGAAGGAGACTGACAAGGGGACTTCGTCTGAAGATTGGGTATTTTTATCCTTTGGAGATTTAAAAGGAGATAGAATTCTGAAATGACTCATTAGAAGAATTTGTGTTCGAATAGCATCAAACTTAATTAGTAATCCTACAAGAAAACTCATTACAGTCATTTGTATAGAATGAGAGAATTCAATTCCTCATATACTCGTTTAAAATCTATGAAATATTTTGTAAGGGATCTCTGCTGTTTTTTCGGACGGTAAAATATCTTGCAAACATCATATATATGATTTAAATTATCCTTACCAGAATACAAGAAAGTCAAATAATCCATAAGATCTTTAACAAACTCATAATGATTGATCAGATTGACTATCTCATTATCAATAGAGTTTCGGATCTGCAAAAATAGTTTTGCATCTTCTCTTAGCCAAGTCTTCTTTTCTTCCCCATCAACGGGTGGGTCATGAGTGAGATGATAATCTTTATCGATACTGCGCAGATATATCCGGATAGTTTTACTCCAATCCAAAAAAAAAAAATTTTCACAATTTGTGTTCAGTAATCTTTGATGTTGTAGGAATAACATCAAAAATTACTGTTTTCATCTCTCTACTATTACCTATCTTTTCTGCCATTATAATTCACATAAGAAGGGTCTAAAAGTGATTCAGTAGGGTCATGTTAAAAAACAAACTGGTAATCAAAGCCTAAAGCTCTGATATCAAGAAAACTAAAAAAGGGAGAAAAAAACACTCTTTTTCATTATACTTGAAGACTACACAATATACAAATATATGCACAAGTGTAACCTAATTTAGATCCTAAAATTATGTTAATCTAAATCAATCTATAATCTAATCAAATCTTCTAATATTTGAAACTATGATCCAAGCAAATTAAATCTAATCAAGTCTAATCTTTCCTAATATCTACAATATTAAATCAAATTACATATTTATATTTCTACAATATTAGATCACATATCTTCAACAGTAAGAAACATCAGGAAAAAATCTTTTAATCCACTCTGTTGTTCTCTTCAATTTCTGTAACTTTGTTTATTGTTTAAGGATTTTCAGATTATGCGGGTGAAGTGTTACTATTTGGTGTCCTGGCTCATCACAAATTTGAAACTGAGTTCAAGCATTTCTGATGAGCAAGGTCTCATCAATTGTCACATTTTCTTTTCTTCATAGTTATTTTCTGCTTTTTTGAACCCTGAGATGCTCTCTGACTTGGACCAAATTTTGCAACAACTTGTTGAGCATCAGGTTTGAGTTTGCAGGGTGATGTTTAATGATTTGTACTTGCTTTCCTGTCTCTTTTGCCTAATTGCTTTGACAGCTGCAATCTCTAGAAGTGCATTTCTTATGTGAAATTATCTGAAGCAATTGCAAATTTGCTGCTAAATTTATGCTTTATCTTGGATTTTTTTTTTTTCCCCCTTATTACCTGATGTCTCGTTAAGCTATGTTTTCATCGATTCCAGAGAGTCACTAAATTGAATGGTCGTGTGGAAGGTGCTGCTATTCCAACAGTTAAGAAGACTGATCTCAAGGCCAAAATTTCTGTACTTCAGGTACTTGTACAACTCTTTACATCTGTCTGTATTTGTGCCTGTGATTAGGTAACACAGAAGGTAATTCAGGTAGAAAAGGATGAAAAAGATTAAGAACTAATATGTGCTTTATGGTAGAATCAAATCATTAAAGCCAAAAAGAAGATTGCCGAAGAGAATATACAGAATGCTGTTAAAGTTGCATTAGAAGAGGCAGAAGTTTCATCATCTCATGGAAAGGCATACTGCATCACTCATGTCAATGTTGGTGCAGATACTGCTGCAATCCGTGAAGCAGTTCTTAAAGTGACAGAACGGAAGGTTAAAATGTGTTGCTGCCTTGTAAAATTATATTGATCTACCAATGTAAACTCCACTGACTGTCCTAGTGGATTTACAGGGCATGGCTATTATGGTCATTAGCAAAGATGGAACTGCAAACAAGGTTGTGGCGTGTGCTGGGGTTCCGGAGAAAATTGATCAGTTCAAGCAGCTGGATGCTAAGGAGTGGCTGACTGCAGCTTTGGCGCCTTTGAATGGAAAAGGAGGAGGAAAGGGTCGTCTTGCTCAAGGCCAGGTTTGAAATTTGTCATGCTTGTTGAAGTAATTTTGCTAAAAATTCTGTTTTGGAGATGTTCTTAACATCTCTTTATAGGGTGTGAGGAAAACTGGGATGACTATTTTACCTATTTATGCTTCTTAACCCTTTCAGGGATCTGAGGTATCACATGTGACGGAGGCGATGGACATTGCGGCTTCTTTTGCTGCACTGAAACTTAAATAATAGAAAGACCACTTGGTGCTGTATATACGCCACCAGAAACTTGGTTCATGACCTAGAAAGGGAGATTTTGTTTTGAAGTTGGTAAGACACTAAAGATATTCTGTCACACAACATTTAGTCGGCTTAATTTCAATGAAATTTTAAAAGTCAAAGAAGAGCAGCCTAGATGTATATTGTTGCAACCAAATGCAACATAATATGACAGGTGGAAGTCTTCGTCTATTTTTTTTGTTGATTTTTACTGTAAATATGTTTGTCTAGGCCACATGTACCTGACTATCGCTCTTCATGCATCCCACAATGATGCAGCAATGGTGCGAGCCTGTGTACGGGATTTCCCTGTGTATTATGTGACTTGGGAATTCCGAAGAAAGATATCGATATTGGCGATCGTGATATATCTCTACTAAGATGAATGTCAACCATGATGAGTAAATGAAATTGTTGTATTGGCCCATTTCTTTGGTGAGGTAAGTGCTACTGATATTTGATTGAGAAGGAAACCCTGCTAATAGACACTTGCACGCTTTATTCTGCTAATACAAAGACACCATGAAATTGCATTACACTTGTACTTCTGCTCCGAAGTCTTGAAGATGTGTGCTAGTTGTACTTCCTGCTAATAAAGTAGATTGAACAATGTTGTTCAACTTCTGATTTGACTTTGAGAATGTCGCATCTGTTCTCTTCCACTCAGGCTTTTTCTTAGTTGTCGCTGCAGGGTCTTTTCAAGTTGAGCTGCAATGGATTCCAAATTGTAATTGATGCTTCTATTTTGTGGTTTCTTCCAGTATATTTCAACTAACTTTATAGATGACTGAATCGTACTTCAGTGCTGTTGGTCTTTTTCATTCATCAACATATCTAGTCTATGCGGGAATGGGGAGCTTTTCAATCGAGTTCTGATTGCTGACGTGGCGAGCTTCCATTGGCCGATTGGTGGTCGTCTGCCTCGTGTGAATTCGCTCGCGTGAATTTGGTCCGTCCAGCCGATTGTTTCTTTCTTTTCTTTGTTTGCTTGGATGTCTACATTGGAGCCTGCCGCAAAATTGTGGTCCCACGTCCTTTGGTTTTTTTTCCCTTTTCTTTTTTTAAAATTGGATGGAAGTGCTTGTTAATAACCTTTTTTTGGATGCTACAGCCCCTCTCATTCCCTTGTTGGTTTAGAATTATCCCGGCAGAATTATCCAATAATTCCCTTATTGAATTGGAATTATCCCTCTTTTTAAACTATCTAATTAGCATTTTCCCCAATTGTTAGCTAAAGAATGCCTTTTGTGGTTCCTCAAAAAAACGCACATAATTATCAAATTCTTTCCAATTAATTGTTCGTTAACTGATTAATAAACTCGATTTTTACTTATTACGTAACGAATCGCATTTAGCTATCCCCCTCTTACAATTATTGACATATTTGGACTTTCCAACTAAATCGCAATTACTTATCGATTTCTTGTAATTGCCTTATATTAATTATTGGCACATGCTTTTTTTTTTTTAGAATGAGAGGGGGTTTATTTGGTATCGATTTTACGTAAACAATCAACAATGTGGTGCGCTTCCGTTGGTGTCATTTATTGTTTGTCCACGCCGCGCACCGCATTTGATTATCGATTCTCCGTTGTTAATTTTTATAACTATTTATTTATCTCTTTTTATTTGGATTCCCTTTTTTTAACCAATAAATCACGTTTAATTACCAATTATTTATTCTTAATTGTTAATGACTTATTAATGATGCCATTTTTTCCCTTTCTCAACAATAGATTGTGTTGCCAAAAAACTTGATATCCCGGTTCTTTACAATTATTACTACTTTCCCTTTGTTTCCAGATAAATTGCACTTATTAATAATTACTTTTTTTTTGCAATAATTGCTTATATATTATCTTTTTTTAAAATTGCTTTTGTTATCCTTCAATTGTGAAAATTTTACACTTCAATTGATTTTACCTGGTCACGCCACACACCATGCTTAATTATTGATTCCCAACTATTAATTGTTATAATTATTTGCTTACCTATTTTTATTTGTGTTCTTTTTTTTTGTTAGCAAACAAATCATATTTGATTACCAACTTTTTAGAATACATTGTTAATAACTGATAAATAATACCATTTTTTTTATCGCCATTTTTTGTTACCCAACAACTGGCATTTAATTCATAACTTTTTTGCAATTATTAGCAACATTTCTTTTCTTGTCAGAGATATCACATCTAATTTCCTTTTTTCCAAATTTCATTAAGAAAATGTCCTCTTTTGTTTTGGGTTGCCCAACAAATGGACTTTAATTATCAGTTTTTTTCAATTACTCTTTTATTAATTCGGTTCTGATTTGGCAGTTTTATTGCTACAAAAATCACATTTAATTGCTGGCCTTTTTTAGTATTAATACTTTTTGTTACCCACAAATATCGCATTTAATTACCAATTCTATGTAGTTATTAGCCAAGAAATATGCTTGTCTTATTCTTTTCTTTCGTTACTTTTCCTGTCGTAACCAAACTCCTTATTGCTAATCTGATTGACTCATTTTTACAAACAAGCCTGCATCTTGTTTGTTTAGTTCTAGAGCAAGCTTTCTCGAGTTCCTCATCAGTCACTACTTGTCACCAGCCTGTTTCTGCCGACAAGTGACTGTACTTGACCTGATTAATTGCTACCTTAATTTTCTATATTACCCATCCCTTGTGACTATATTTACGATTCTACTCCATGGACCTTGTCGCCTTTTGTCCTTTACTTGAGGTTATGTTTGTAAATCTATAAACAACCGTCATTTTTCGCCATTGTCTACCATCAGCTTCTTTTTGCTGCGGTTGATTGACATTGTTTGGTGTTTTGCATTTGCACAATGGATACAGAGTTTCTCTGGTTTTCCGCGGCGGATTTTCTACTGAGCATCATCATGAACAATGGTAATTGTGCACCCGCTGCATTCTTTTCTCTATTCTAAAACTCTTGTTTCTTTGTTAGCCAGAGGGAACTACCTCATACCGATTGTTCTTCGTTTTCTTTGGCTGTTTTGAACCTTCATTTTCCCTAATTTATCAGTCTGGTTTTAAATTGCATTGGTGCTGTCGTTTTTGCTTTCCTGGTGAGCATGTTGGTTTTATAGTTCGGCTTAATTTGTTGTTCTTTAACTGTTTATATATTTCAAAGATTGCTATCAGGCTGCTTTGCTTTTTATTTCTTCCTTGCTTCTCAGCTTTCTAATGCACTGGTTCAACTATTTTTCCCCTTTTTTTGTCTGCCCCTTCTAAATTATTATCACCGAATTAGCTTCTATTTTTCTCTCCCATTTTTTTCACCTTTTCTTATGACCTCTTACATGATTGCCATTTCTTTGATAGTTTCTGCTGCTATTCACTTCTGCGGTGTTGAGCTTCTTCGTGTTCACAGGTTAGCTCTTCTGATTTTGTTCTCGTTTTGCTCTTTTCTCTATATTTTATCCTTAATTTGTGCATCTTTGGGATACATTTTCTGATGCATCAGCACTTATGGCTTGCTCCAGCTTTTCCTTTTTTTAGTTTGGGACTTTTTGACTTCCTGTATCTTTTGTGATCCTTATTCTTGCATATACGTGTTATTCTATTGTTTCTGCTGCTATACTTACATGCCTGATTATTTTTTATGTAAGCATTTGTTCTTTGCTCGGCTGCCGCTATTAACTCCTTCATCTCTTTGTGTTCGCTTGTTTTTTGCCTGCTCTGCTTTCTGCCAGTTTTCGATTTACATTCTTTTTTGCTAAGTTAGACATTCCTTTCTTTATATAGTCCTTCGACATTTTTTGCTCTTACTAAAAAACGATGGATGGAAATGCTACTCGCAGCAAAAAATACGCAGAAATGCCATCTTCGAAAAAAATGCAACTTCTGCAACGCCGGAAAGAAAATAGAGCTGCCAAGAAAAAGAATGCGCATTTACTCCCACGTATTCGTAAGGTTCCACTAGGTTATATGGAATCGGGTGTTTCTTTCCCTGATTCGCATCATGAAACCCTTGATGGTGCGAATCACTCTTCTATGCATAGTGAAATCTTAGGAGCCGAGGCCTTGAAGAGCGGTAATGACAATGCTGCTGTCATTACTGAGGCATTACAATATATGTCCTCTCATGAATCCGCTCCTTTTATTCCTCGCGTCCATTCTGCTCCCTCTTCTCAGACTGCAAACGACATAGCGGGAATCTGATATTTGATGTTATTCACTTTTGTGAACTACAAAAACAAGTTCTTCTGCCTTGGACCGTCCCCCTACCAGATCTATTGCACATGAATGCCATTGCATCAAGAGGTCAAAATACCGCTGTACCTATCTCATATCCTCATCTATATAGTATATTATTTTTAATGTAACACAGTCATTTGATGACAGATGATATCCACATGGCCGCTACACACCAGCAAGTTACTTCCTCGCTAAGACCAGATTTCTGTCAAGATCTATCTGATTCAGTGTGCTTTTATCAAATCTTTAACTCCGCAACTCCAAACAGCTTGGTAAGCTATTCTATGTTTACCTGTATTCTCTTTTTTCATCTCAACTTTCTCGCAAGCAATTTCCTTTTGTTTCTGCATATCTTCTAATCTGCACCTTTTGATGATAGAAAATTCCGCGCTTTGTTGATCACTTCATCAATGATATCAAGACTCCCATGTTACTTATCAACACTGGACAAAAAACTACTCAAATTGCTGTAAAGCATAAACGCCTTCACCGAAACTGGAGAGATTTCGTTCTTCAACATCAATTGCAACACAATGAAACTCTGGTATTTGTTCCGGAATCTGAAAATATATTTACAGTTTTAATCTATGTTTTCAGAACCGGACCGGATAGCGACTCGGCCAAGATCAGGGGTCAGGGGTCAATGGGTTCGACCGGGGGTCGATAGGGGTCGAACCGGATGACGTCATAAATAAAAATTATTTAAAAATTAAAATATTATATTTATAATATCTAATAATATATTGATATTAATAAAGGTATATTCATATATATTTGATGTTTCAAATATATTTAACAAGAAAATATAAAGAAATTAGAACAATTAAGTAGCAATTTATATTATTTAATAAATATTAACAAATTTAGAATTAAAATTATGAGTTTAATTGAAAAATAACATCAAATTTTAGGACAATATTTATAAAGTATCAAATATTTGAGGTATATCGATAAGTTTTAACAATTTAGGGGGTCAAAACATAATATTATAAAGTTTGAATTTTTTTTTTAAAAAAATTACTATTGAACCGGAAAACCGGTTTTTTCCGGTCAAACCCGGTTTTTGACCGGCTTTGACCGGGTTTTAAATTTCCGGTTTTTAAATAAGACTCGGACCGGCTACCTGGCCGGTTCCCGGTTCGACCGGTTCGACCGGCCGGTCCGGTCCGAGTTTCAAAGCAGAGGTTTTAATCTTCGATGATACCGGAGTTGAAAAATATTTTCCTTGGTATCACATATTCAATATTTATTCGGATGCTTAATGAATTTAGCTGAACCGTGCAGTGTAATTTACCTATCGATTGAATACATTACTGGTAGTTTCTACTTCTTCTTAGCTAAACCAAGCAACCACTACCCCACGATCAGTGTTAATGCATTGATTCTTCTTTGAATTAACTAATTTTACAAAATTAATTATTCAACTGGGCATTACTGGGCATCACTGCTTTCACCCACCGCGCATAGCGCGGTGATCCCCTCCTAGTTCAGTATATAACAGTGTATGTAAGAAGTCATCAGTGCTTTCGGTTTGTGCGGTGGAAAAGTCGTCGTCGTAAATATCAATGGACCAATGCCGCACTTGATAAGTTCCTACATTTGCTAAGCTAAAGAAATGTGCGTGTCTAGAATCCGGAAAAAGGTGGCCGCTGGGTTGTGTGCAAAATTGCTGTCATCTACGAGTCAGAAAGTTGAAATCCTGTGATTGGAAAATCTACAGGAGAGTCGGAACTTCATTTATTTCCCTAAAAAGAGTCGGAAATTGAATTTGAATTGATGGACAGCAAATGAAATCTTGTCATTGCGAAAAAATCAGATGTGTGACACGTTAAACATCATTAACGTAGGAAGTCTAAACAAAGCAATCTGTAGGGAAATTTTTGTCCAAGGAGAAAAAAATTAGAGTCCCCCAAACTTCCCATTTTTACGACTAAACAACTACTATCAAGCAAGGTATTTTTAATCTTGCATTTTTTTGAAAACATCAATAATAATTTTCCTTGATTGAACCATTTTTCGAGGTTGTGAGAAATTTTTTTACATTCGTTAGGCATTGGCTTAGTTTAGAAATCTAATAGACAATATCTATAACTATTCTACTCTTTTGGGTTAATTACATATACCTTTTCGTCAAATTGCAATTACACCCCCTGGGGTTTAAAATATTACAGCCACCACTTTGACTTGATAGGCCTTAAACGCTGTCATATTAGGACGGTAGTAAACATGGCAGCTGTCGAAATGTGATCAGTGGCCCTCAACTTCGCACGCCGCATTCAGATGTTTATATCTCAATTCTCAAACTTTAGTCTAATTCAACCAAAACGAACTTTTAGAATAAATTTCCCAGCTTAAGAGGAAGAAATACAAAGGAAGGACAAATTCCCTAATTTGCTTGTATGTGGTTTTGCAATTGTATACGTCGTTGCTTTGATTGCATAGCCTTTAGGAATGTCTTTCAATTGAGTCATACAATAGGGGGTTTAGAACTCAAAGAGAGAGAAAGAAGGTTTAGAACTCACAGAGGGAGAGAGAGAGAGAAGAAGAAGAAAAAGAAAAGGGTATTGCAAGAGATGAAAGGCAAATAAGAATAGAGAGAAGAGAAAGATACAAGAGAGATGGAAAGGCAATGTCGCCATTTTCTTTATTTTTAGTTTACAATCTAATTAGGATTTCTGGTTTTTTTTTTTTTTTTTTTACCTTTTTCTGAGAAAAAATGTAAGATTAGGGTTGTTCAGGGAATTTTGTACCATTTTTTATCTTGCCTCAGTCAGTAGATGTCAGCTTTTTAATGGGGAGGGTTTGTGTGTCATGGAGGTGTGACCGTGGATCTGTTTGGAACCTCAAGTTTTTAACAAGTTTGTATAATACTAGTTTTTTAACAACTTTTGCCATACAAGAATCCTAAAAAACTTATCAAAATTTTTCACCTACACACTCCAAAATAATACACAAAAACTTTCCCTTCAACTTTTCTTCTTTTTCCTCCCTCACCCAACCCACCATGTACTCTGTCGCCGGCCACCACCTCCACCACCGCTTCCGGCGCCGGTCACTATTCCAGCCGCCACTGCCGGCCGTCCTCTTTTTTTTTTTTCTCTCTCTCCCCTCTCCCTTTGACCGATCTGTTGGTTTCCAAAACCTCTTTTTTCCTTTCTCCCTTCCCTCTCCCCTCTGCCTCCCAGGCCACCTTTGCGATTTGGTCGCACTACCAGATCGCAGCTAGCAGGAGGAGAGGGGGAGAGACAAAGCTAAAAAAAAAATTCAACCCTACAACAACTCTGGCGTCGGAGGGCGAGGGGGAGGGGAGAGGAAAGGGAGAGGGGGAAAAGGGGAAGAGAAAGAAAAAAAATTTTCCTATGGCTGCTAGGCGACCAAGGTTGCTGATTAGGGGAGGAGGAGGGTGGCAAGAAAGGGGGAGGAGAGTGGGGAGAAAAAATGAAACAAAAAATCCTTGACTGCAACCTGCAAGTTCTCTGGCATCGGAGGCCGTCAGGGAGGGGGAGGAGAGGGAGAGAGGGAGAGGGAGAAGAGGGGGAGAGAAAAAGAAGGGCAGAGAGGGAGGAGAGGGCAGAGGTGCCGGGGGAGAGAAAAAGAGTGGTAGTGGGGCAGAGAGGGAGAGGGAGGAAGGGGCAGAGGTGCCGGGGGAGGGGGAAGGGAGAAGAAGAAGAGAGAAAAGAAAAGAAAAAAGAAAGAAAGAAAAAGAAAAATAAAGAAAAAAAATTTTCAACCTAAAAATTTTTCTTACAACTTTTACAGTAATTTATAGTAAAGTTTTAGACAAACACCCAAAAAACTTACATTCCAAACGGAGTGCGTAATATTTCAAATCACAGAAAGCGTAATAGTAATTTGGTGAAAGCACAAGGGGCAAATGTAATTAACCCTTACCCCTTTTGACAAATAATAACCGCAAACTTGATTTAAATGTATTATCCTGCATTAACAGTGCTACCTAGGACAAGCCAACCGAGAGGGATGAATAAGTTGATATGCTTATGTTGTGTTTGGATCGCAGTTTTTTAAGTAAAATTTTTTTACATATTTAGTAAATATATTTTTTTAATTATTTTTTTAATTTCACATATATTAAATTGTTACACTAAAATTTTTACAAAAAATTCAAAAAATAGCAATTCAAATGGGTTCAAATAGCTTAACCTTTCCAACACACACTCGAGTGCATGTCTTTCGATAGAGAAAAAATTAAAAAAATCTGAATATATGTTTTTCGATAAAAAAAAATCTAAAACTCAAAGATAAATAGACATCTTCTTCTTCTTCTTCTTCTTCTTTTTTTTTTTTTTTTTGTGTAAGCGAGATGATTCAAACCTGAGATCTATTACTTACATTTCTTCCCCCGTACCATCCAACCCATCCATACTCGTCAAATCTTACACCTTCCACTCCATGTCTTTCTGTGAGAAAGAGAAGGGTCAGATTATAAATTGATGGTGTAAGAGTCAAGAGTGAAAGGCGCAAGTGACAAAGTTGAGTGATTAATGGTATGTCTAGCGGCTTGAACTCGAAAATTTCATCTCTTTTTTTTCATGGTATAGTTATGCACTGTTATGATTATATATGTGACTGCTTCCAGGTTCATTTGGTGCCAAATTCTCCAATATTTTATATTGTTATGTAAAAATATGATTTTTTTTTTAGTCCTTATGTAATGGAGAATTTAAAAATAAAATTTTTATCCTATCTCTAGGGAATAAAAAACCTAAAATTTTGGATTTTACCTTTTTAATATGTAATCTACTGGACCTTCAAGTTTCGCTTGTTTATCATGCATTCCATTGACTTTAACAGCTCCAATAGATGGAAAGGTCAGAAGTATGCATGTTAATCGATAGAGTTTTGATTGGATTTAATTGATTCAAATCCAAACCTGCTAAATTTATTTTGTCTAAACTCTAAATAGAAAATTTAGACCCGACCTCTTAGATACCCATGAGTATCTTTAATTTATAATAAAAATAAATTCCAGACAATAAAACATATGAAATCCAAAGATAATAAAAATAAATACCAATTATCACTTTCAATAATAATATACATATACATACATGCATGCATATATACATACGCACACACATTACACGTTTATGCATTCAACATTTAAACTTGCATGTTTTTTAATTTCATATACTCTTTTTTTCATATAAATTATAACCAACTTATCAGATGAATTCACATATCCACATTTTTGCCTCTTGCATTTAGGTACTTTTTCAAATGAGTTTCACTCTTGCTAAAAAAAAATTAACACTTGCTACTCTCTTAATAAGTGTTCAAAATTAACACTTGAGGCTATCCCAAAGCTAAATAGATTGTAGATTTGAGCACAAAATATACAAAATTAGACCTTACCCAAATTCATGTTTTTTTTTTCACAATATTTGAATTCTACAGGGTTTGGATTTGAAAGTTGAATCCAAATCCAAGAAAAAAAAATAGGATGATATAGGTTGGGTCTAGGTAACATTTGACCTTTAGTGAATAGTATAACTTGTAGAAATTGGGAGTTAAAAATAGACAAATAATTGTTGAAGGACTAAAAGCGCACAAACATAATAGCTTGAGGGCCAATTACGCATTTTGCACAAAATAATGAAGGCTGCCTTTGATTCAAGGGATTTGGTTATGTAAATTATCAATTTAAAATATATTTTAATAATTGATATATTTTTGGATGAATGTTAATAAATGGGAAATTTGCATAAACCTTCCCTGAGGTTTTTAACACTAGCACTCACCTCCCTTATGATTTAGAAAATAGTACATACTACAATACTACCCTTGAATTTAAGTATTGTGTTGCAGATTCAGTCCATGCCAGAAAAGTTACCATTAAATTTTTTTTTTTAAGAAATGAGATGAGAAATTTGTACCATATTTGCCCTTCATGCTGCTTGCCAAGTTGTATTAATAGAGGAATGACAAAATATGAAAAGTTATTAAGAATTAGTAAAATTCAAGGGGTATCACTAACGGTTAGTTAAATGACTATATATCCAACTTTTTGTAGCAAAATTTTTTTTGAAAAAATACATGTCACTTTTAAAACTCTCTATTAGTAACGTGAATAGCTATTTATGGGGGTAACACAACTGCTTATATTGTTAGCTCCAATTATATACAAAAAAAAAAATCGCTGAATAATTAGCTAATTAACAGCAAACTTAAACATCACTAAAAGTTACTGAACATGAGATAAGCCTAGTTACAAGTAATTAGAAGTGCATATTAATAAGATAAAGTTGTTTTTAATAAATAAAAACTGCAGTAATTGCATTGAAACCACGTACTAAAACTGTTGCTGCTGCTGATATTTCCAAATTACAGAATTATAATTGTATTAATGGAAAGAGATGTAGCAATTTGAGAAGAAGTAGTAAGCTAAATTAGAGGAGGTTTAGAAATAGAAATGACTTGAACAGATACATTTGTGTAAGTTCTCTTTATACTTACTTTAGTAGATCGGATTGCTTACTGGCCTTTCTCTGTGTAGTTGTATAAAATTATATTTAAATTGATTGATTTGAAAAACTAATATATAAACATGTACGCCGTTTTTTCCCTCAATTGGCACCATTCCTTAGCTTTACTTACAATGGCTAACGATGCTAAAACTTATAGGTAATCTAGTTTAATTAGTCACTCAATTTGTTGACAAAAAATAAATTTTCTTT